GGCACCATCAAAGGAGGAAAGGCAAGGCACATTCACTGGGACTTTGGAAAAGACTCTTAAGAAGTGTGGGCAGAGTGAAAAGAATCAGCGAGGTAAGGCTTCCGGGGACAGTCGCCGTGGGAAGCCATCACCCCCCCCCCCCAGGCTGAGGGGTTAAAGAAAGATGGCACACGCCGGAACCGGTCGTGTGCTGGAACCCAGGAAGAGAGGGTGGCCACCTGTCGAGTGTGAAGAAGAACTAGGAAGACAAATGAGTAGGTGCTTCCTGTTAGATCTAAAATAGCGTCACACTTTTGTAAGATGGTTAAATATTTAGCGTTGACAAATATCGGATGGCAAGAGCTTAGTTATGGGACATTGTAAAAACAGAATAATAAAAAGACAACCACTGGCTAATAAGGCCAGTCTTCAGTCAGGTCTACAGAGCCATCTTCCCTGCCCCGACTGGCCCCGTAGGTATTAACACTCTGATTGCAGGTGCACCTGTCACGTCCCCTGATGGCAGTGGGACATGGTGGATAGGGCTGGCCCGATGCTGTCCCGTCCCCCAGGCTGCTCTGTCAGCCTCCCTGTCAGTGTTTTACTGGAGATGGAGAGGCACTTGTTGGCCAAGGACAAAGAGCGCTGGGTGCTGGCTGTGGGGTGGGTGGGGGCGGAGGACGGCTGAACACAATCCTTTTATCCCTCTCAGTCCCCGGAACCTCAAATCCTAACGCTGATCCTTAATCACAGAAGTTAAACAGACTTAGCCAACTCAATTTTCAGTGATAATGAGCATCAGAAATCACACGGATTAATGAGTCGAAAACGATCCCCTTCAGAATAATTTTATTTCTGATTTCTTAACCCTCCTGACACGGGCACCGTGAACAAGCAGTGACAGGGACTGATTTGAGGCTGACCGTCCCTTTTCCCCTGTCTTTGGCAGAGCCACAGATGGGCCCAGCACTGGCTACTACCTGTAGAACCAGGCCTAAAGAGGCCAAGGAAAACGGGAGGGGCAGAGACCCTTTACCCTCGACTCTCATTAAGGATGTACCACTTCTCAGCCAAAGGCACAGACTGAAGAAGAAAGGTGGGGGGGGGGGGGGCGTCTTGAAGATATGGCCCTTTCTCTCAGTTTTATGCTACCGAATCCCCAAATTCCTGCCATGCATCCTTGGTTCCTCCGCTCTTGTCCATCTTCTGAAGAACTGACTTGTCAGCATTCAGCCAATAACTGGATGATTGAGTACCCCAGCACCTCTTCCGGGACCGACACCAATTAGACACAGCAAGCACGGCCAGTGGGGATTTTAGGGGTGCTACGAAGCCGTGCGCCCGAAAAAAGACAAAGAAAGAAGAGAAAGAGAAAACACGGAAAAGCAGAGGGTGAGAGACTTTCCCATGTGCTACTGCCCGTGTCCGTGTCTGTTTGAAAGAGAACAGAGGTGCAGATTTGAGGGGGTGCCTCTCTTCAAGATGCTAGGCATGCTTCACTTTTCTGCAGCAAACCACACACAGATGGCACTCTTGTATCCACAGGGTTACCTGAAATATAAATGGATGAAAGGGCTAACATAGTTAAATGCATGACTGTTGAAAAAAATCTGATCAAAAATGGGTTAATAATCATATCCTCAGAAACGACTAGGTCCGCTTAGTGAGCGATTGAGAACACACAGCCACACGGCTCTGAGCAGAGTCAGGCAGGATTCTAGGCCCGATTCCCAGCACTGCACCCCAACTGTCGGACTTTGGGCAAGCTACCTAACCTTCTGCATCTGTAAAATGGGGATAATAATGTCGCCGCCCCCTAGGGTTTTCATGAGCATCTAAGAAGATAGTGAAAACACTGTTTGGCATATACCAAGTGTTCTGTAAATATTATGACTCTCTATAGGTTGGTCTATAATTATATAGAGAATACCAAAGCAAAAGTCCTAAGGAAAAGACTTGCTGGAAAAGTCTCAAACTTAGTTGGCTAGTCATTTCATACCTTATAGACTATATTATATAACCTGCTGCTTGTGTTGATTATAAACAGCTTATTTCACTCAGCTTAATCCCTAAATGTTAATCATTTATTCAATAATTTTTAAGTAAATTCAATTTAATTATAGAGATCAACAATTTATTTATTTTTTAAATGTTTATTTATTTTTGAGACAGAGAGACAGAGCATGAGCAGGGGAGGGGCAGCGAGACAGGGAGACACAGAATCCGAAGCAGGCTCCAGGCTCTGAGCTGTCAGCACAGAACCCGACGCCGGGCTCGAACTCACGAACTGGGAGATCATGGCCTGCTTGCAAGTGGGACACTTAACCGACTAAGCCACCCAGGTGCCCCTAGAAATGAACAATTTAAATGCTAGAAGTTTAAATAATCAAAGGTCAATTTGTATCACTCACAGACATCCACACAACTATTTGTGTTTCAGTTCTGGTGACAGCTAGAATGTTTTTGCTGATGATTTCTGCTTTTTTATTCCTATTTTGTGATGGGTGAGGTTGAGGACCTGGAACAGTTGCCACTGAGGAAGCTGCAACAATGTTTTAAATTTTTCACTGTATCTCTTTTTTTCCTACCACAAAACAACAATGACCACACACACACACACACACACAGACTCACACAAAACCCTCATATTAAATTAGTATAATTTTGAGGAAAGTCTGTAAAATAAATTTATTTAACATCAAATCTGGTTTAGTGGAAATCCCTCTAATAAGAAATGAGGTCATGTCTCTTGCAGTGAATCATGTCCGTTAGATTCATCTCGTTTTCTGGATGTTTTCCTTCCTTCGTTTGTCATTTCCAAGTCTCTAATTCTTGTTGATTGTTCAATTAAATGAAATCATTGATTTTTTTTTTAATTTTGAAGACAGCATTAAACTGATGCTACAAAATATAATCTGTACGGGTGATGTATGGAAATGTTGAATGACTACATTGTGCACCTGAAACTAATATAACACTATATGTTAACTAACTGGAATTAACATAAAAACTTAAAAAAAATTAAATAGATTTTTAAACATGCGCACGCACACTCACACACACACACACAATCTGTATTAACACAAGACTGCTTTTAACTCTACAATAATTTTTCCTATCCAGCTTTTTAAAAAGCAAATATAATTCAGTTACATTCAGAACTCAACAAACATTTCTAATTGTGATCTCTTCATTCAAATGTGTCTTCTTTCCTTTGCCATCTTTCTACTCCTTTGATAGTGGGAACAAAATAAGAAAGATGGTTATTCTTTATTATAATATTCCATTACCTAGGAAACTTCTTTGGGATGAAAGAAAATCCTGCTCTTCACATGGATTGGTAACTGATTCATCTGCATACACTTCTCTACTGCTCTCACCTTCCTTTGCTCCAAAATTACACACTGAAAGATTACAACTCCACTTAAATAACTCCCACATATATTCATTTAGATCTGAGAACCAAAATCTCCTCGGTGGCTCTTTAAAAGATCTCTTCTATTCCAAGACCTCGAGATGTGATCCCACACACGGGACATACCAGGATTTTAGGTCTAGAGTCAGAATCAGAGTTATTTTAACAATAGCAACAAACTTGGAAAGCTACCAGTCGAGCGTGTCTTTTTTACAAGTATGTAAACTAAGACCCAGAGAGGCTGTACTGTCCACAACAAGGTTATTTCATAGAAACATGAATATGTATGTATGGATATACAGCTTAAAATTTTATGAAGGATATTCAGACGAATTATCATAGATCCTAATGAAAAGGCCCTTGAACACAAAACTAACCCGATTTTCTACCAGCTGACCCTTTTCAATGACCCTAATATTTTTAATCTTAAAGGAAACCCTTGTATCAAACACGACGATTTTATTTCCTTGTTGAGAATACTGTATTTTCAAACAGCACCTCTTGCCATTCCCAGAATCCACGATCCCGGAAAAGTTAGGTGCTTCCACCCCTGGAGGCACTCCCTGGCCGGGGGCACCTTGAGGACCTGGGCCCTCGTTCCGCACCCTTCTCGGGCGGTGGAAGGGCGGCGGGCAGGGACAGAGACGGCTGCGACCAGACAATGTCCTGCATTCACGGCGGCCTCGGCCAATCACAGGCCGGCGCCTCCCGGCCCCGCGCGGCGCCACCGGCCACGGCTCGGGCCCGAGAAAACCCGGCCTCTGGGCGGCCATCTGCGGCCATCCCGGGGCAGGGCGTGCCGCGCCCCAAGTGCGCCCCGCCCGGAGGAGGGGGCCCGGGGCGCGGGCGCCGCGGCGTCCCCGCGGGACACAGGTCGCGCACGGAGGGCAGGACGCCCCGCCCCCTCCGGCACGAACTCGGCGCTGTCCCTTTAAGACGAGCCTCCTCCCGGGGCCGAGAGAAGCGTCGGCCGCCCCGCCGCGGGGGGCAGCGACATCCGGGCTACCGGGCTGGCGACGACGACGGCCCCTCGGGCAGCTCCCAGTCCCCGCGGGACGCCCGACTGGCTGCGAGTAGGG